AGCATTGAGTATTCCAATTTGGAACATAAAATCAAGATATATTTGTATTCGGAAAAAATCTGTTATTCGTAACAATATTTACACGAGTGTGGAGCATACATCAATTACACAGGCGACACATTTATAACACGAGACTCCGTGAATAGATAATGAAACTTTCGAGTTCATTTTAAGTTTGTGTGTAATGTCAAACATTAGTTATACTACTTTTTGTCTCGTCCCCATTGTTCTAACTATGTTTCTTACTGATAGTTATACTACCCCTACGAGTAGAAACGGGAAATAGCGGCTCCTTGGAGCCGCTATTCCCCGTTAATCTACGAGGAGGGGTAGTATAACGAAGTTATACTGCGAATTTGACGAGTTTTGCACGGCTTATTTTAAATCATGTGGTCATGGCGGATGTTTACAGCGCTATTGTGTAAATCGCAATTCTAAACCAGGTGTAGTCAACCGCAATTAAACTGTCCGCTAACGAAAGTAAGAAACAAAGTTAGAACAATGGGGACGAGACAAAAAGTAGTATAACTTTCGTTAGCGGACATTTTCAATCTAATTAATTATGCATTCCTGTTAACGGTACTGTTTTATCAATGGATTAACAAGCCGGGACTGTTAATAATGAATGGGTTAATTTAAATATTCATGAGCACAACAGGAGTGGAAAGCTGATTAACATAACAGGTGGCCACTGAATAAAAACAAAGAACAAGGTGGAATTTTCATTTGATTATTTAAATACGCAATGACGATTATACGATACATTTTAAAAACGTATTTCAAGTTTCATATTTCCTTTTACAAAATTCACGGACACTTGGGAAGAATCGGATATGAAAGTGGTATTAGATTTGTCCTCGTCTTTTGGGGTGGTGGATATGTCATGCGTTTTCGCTTCTTTCGCCGTTTTCGGTTTGGGTGGCTGCAATGCGTCTGACACCGCTTTCGTCTGCTCGTCGCTCGTCCGCTTGTAGCTTCTAATTGCTAGACTGGAGTGACCCGTTCTTTCTGCTATTAGCTGCTCGTCGAAATTTTGCCGGAACAGCGTGGTTGCCTGTGTAACCTGTTTAATTAAAATAAAATACAATGTATTAATATGAAAGTACAATAGCTTGTAACAGTCCACCTCATAGCAATTTAAAATATCAATATATTGTTATAGTACGTTCAATCGTTCAGCTTTTTTAAAACACGCCAAAGCCGTTTGCATTAAATCTTTATCGCGTGAAATGAATCCGACATATCGTGCCAGTGAATATAATATTTAAATGGTATTCCACCAAACAGTTTGCATGAAAAAATGGAGTTAACGAGTAGTGATTATTTTCGACATGAAGTTATGACTATTTCTCGTCAGCGGGGAAATCGAACATTGCATTACTAAAGTGCAAATTCTAATACGTACCTTTCCTGAATGCCCAGTATGATAACCTTTTATCCCAGCGAGATCAGTCATCTGCTTACTGTATCCCTGCAATGTATGAACACCAAGCTTTTGTGCAGAGAACTTTATTTCGCCATTCTTTGACTTCAGTGGTCTTCTATAGAATGGCCCGCTGTTTGGGATATATGACAGATATGTCCGAAACAAGTTTACAACACAGCGCGAGTTTTCTGGTTGCGCGTAGTGTTTAATACTCTTAAATGTTTGCCCTGGTTTGCGGTAGAATCCTCCCTGGTTAGTTTTCGATGGTTTTCCCTGGAATACCATTTACTCCCCCATATCGTCGCTGTGCATGGTGAGTTGGTCTACCGTTAGTGTTGAATGTTCATCAGCGGCACGTAGTCCAAATATTTTACACATGTAAAAGTAGGTTGCATAACTCATGCCTAATGCGATATTTGTACCAAACGCGTGTGCCCATAGCTTTTCTTCATCATTTAGCGAAAATGGCTCGGCTTGTTTTTTTTTCGGATACCAATACCAGAGTGAGAGTGTCTTCATGACACCATCCAGCGTATTTCTGAAACCTAAGAAGTCGTGGTTGCCCTGGTCCATAAAATTTAGGTTAGGGCGGTTACAATCATCGCGCAGATAGCGGTAAATGGCACAGAACATTTGTCTTAATGAGTCTGGCGGATGCTGTTGGCCATCTTGTATCCGACTTTCAATGGCAAATGTACATAGCCAGAAATCAAATTCCTTCTGGACTAAATTTTCATCCAGAGACGGAACCAAATGATACACTTCTTCGTCAGATTTATCATACTCAACTTTAACATTACGTTGCTCTTTCCACTCATTCCATGTTTTGACGCCCCATTTTGTAGCGCTGCGAGTTGTCTTGGGTATGCGTGACTGCTGGTATTCGGTGACTTGTTTGCTGTCAACTGGAGGCAAAAAACGGAATTCTTTCTGAATATCGCTCAGTTTAAAGTCCTCGGCAGTAGTTTAAGCTGGACTATAGGGACGACCATGAGGGCGCTGTTCATACTCGGATGTGATGACGTCATACGGGGTGGGATGACGTCACAATGGGAGGCCGTGCATAGCTTAGCATAAATAATGATGTCACAATGGGAATTCGTGCATAAATTAACATAAATGAGGACCAATGCCGTAAAGGGGATAATTTGAATGAGGATGACGTCACAAATGGGATATTGTGCATACATTTGCATACATAAAATTGATGTGAAATACAAGGTCGAGTCGAGGTCATCGTGAATACATTTGCATAAATTTACCATCAATTTTTTTTAATTATTTTTTTTTAAATTATTTTTCCATTTATTTTTTTTTTTAATTTGGACGGG